AGATGTTACCATATAAGAAATTTCTAAACATTTTAAATTTGCGATTAGCATAAACGTTTTTGTTTGTCTATAATTAAACAAAACATTGCATAGTTTCTGTGAACAAGAGTCGTACTAATTTGTAAATTCAGCTTAAGCTCTAAATGCAGTGTAAAACTCTTTTTATATTCCCTCGGTTTTTGGAGCTTAGTTTATTTTTCCAGGAATACTCTTAAATAATTGCGGTACAAACTATAACTAAATGCTGGAAAGTTTTGTAGTTGTTTGTGCATCACATGGCTAAATGGATTGTTGCTCGCTCTCATAATTACACTGTGTGTGTGTGAGAGTATAAGTATATGTGTATGTGTGTGTTTGCGAGGTACATATTAATTTCTCATGGGTATTGTGGATGCCGCCCACTACTCTAACAAACTACAGTAAATTTAGTCACTTAGTTAAGTGGCTGAGCTCACAATTAGACGCCATTGTCATTAGTTTTGGCCAGTTGAGCCGAGAGGTTGCCTCTTTCTCGTCTCGTACTCGCACCTGCCCGCAACTCTGACAAATATTTCTCTTGCATTTGAATAAATTGCAAAAAATCTTGTCACTTGTTGCCAATTAAGAAGCAGCAGCGAAGAAAAGAAGATGGCAACGGATCGTGATTTGGAGATGGGCGCGTGAGGCGGCCAAAAATCGTTGGACTTTAATCAAAACTGTAAAACTGTTTCAGTTTCTGTAGTAGCTTTCAATCATAAAGCGCCCATAAACTTAATCAATTCCAAGCATAAAATCCGGCAAAGCTTTATCGAAATATTTTATAACAATTTCCGCTACAAAGCTCCATAAAAATACAATTAAATAATTTGGTTTAAGTGCTTAATTGCCTGTAAACTCGAATAGGAAACATCATTAATTATATCTGATGAATGTCTCGTGATATCCACTTCGAAACCTCTTAAGCTAATGAAGCTTATGCAATTATCAAGTGTCGAAGAATATTTTAAAAAGATTTAAAAATTAAAGTCTTAACTACAGGTTAGCAAGCCAATAAACTGAACAGTCGATATGAAATCATATTAATACCATTTTTAATCTTAAACTTAACAGAAGAATTGGATGAACGTATGCTTTTATTCAAATACATATAATAAGATTTTTTATAATTGAAAAATCTTTACCGCTCATCATTTTACTATGCTATGTATGAAAGACCTTATGAGGCTCGTGTCGGTAGATCGTGTCACGCGCTCATCTCTTAACATATCAGGCAGCCTCCGTCAGTCACTCAGCTCGTCAGGCAGTCAGTTAGTTGCAACAACGGTCAACAGCCGCTACTCCAATTGCTGGTCTCGCTTTGCAGCTGCGCCGCTGTCGCAGCTGGCGTCTCTGTCAGCGTCGCTATTCTTGCAGTCGCGTCAATTAGCGCCGCGTTGTTGAAGTCTTGTTTATTTGCATGCAGCAGCAGCAGCAGCAGCAACGGCAACAGCAATTGCAAATTTTCCTTTTCATTATACACTCGCTCAAGGTCCTATGAATATTTGACTCTGTACGCGACTCGTGATATATTTTCGCAAAATGTGTTAATATACTTGGAAATTTGTACTCATCAGTTTTGTATGTATGTTATCCCGATAAGTCCTGGAATTTATGTCATAATAATTATAAATTTATGACTCAAATATTTTACTTGTCTACATGAAATTTGTATATAATTATAAAATAGTATATAAATATATTTATAAGTATAGTGTATGTCATAATAACTGTTTATAATCAAGTTTATAAAATTGTATTAAATCAACCTTCCTGAATCGGGTGCAACCTCACAGACTGCAAGGGCACTCAATCTTCGGCATTCGGAAATGTTCTCGTTTCGATTTTCCTTTATTTTACGCCTTTGCGCCTTTCGCTTGCGTTTGGGGCACATGTGGTGTGATATAAAGCAGAGATGGATCCGTTTCGGCTAGCCAAACAAAAATCATTTTCTGAACTCTTTAATTGCGTTTGGCTACTTCGTTTTCTCGTTGTTCTTGTTTTTGTTGCTGTCGATGTATTTACTGTTGTTGTTGTTGACTGCTTGGCTTTTGCATTTAATTACTTTGTTTATGGCCAGTAGCAGCAGCAACAATAAAACTTCAATTTATGTGCATGCAGCCGGGCAGCACGAGCACTGAATGTTGTTAAATTCCAATGCACAAATTGACAGGCCACCCAAACGAAATCCCCTGCTCTGACCTGCCCCTGTCGATGCCCCCACTCTGGCCCTGGCATACTGCTTCACCCATCCTCCCGCATAGCTGCTTTTGTTATGTAAACAACGCGAAAACTTTTTATTTTGTCGACGCTGCAACGCCTTCGCAGCCCCGACCATTCCGAAGAACAAAACTCGTACAATTCGAAATCCGTATGCCAAACTCCTGGGGTAGCAAAAAACTTTTCCTCTCCCTCTCCCTCCCACTCCCACTCTCACTCCTACTCCTCTACTCTCCCCTACTTCCGACTGGCCGCCCATTGCACGCAGTCGTACAAATAACTCAACTCGCTGAATGCTTTGCAATTTCCGCTCTTCTAAATTTGTTGAAAAAAAAAAAAGCGAACGCACAAAATAAAAAAAATATTTCCCAAGAACTTGTCAGTCTATAACTTCCAACTCGACAATACCCTGTTCAAGGTTAAACATGAAGTAGAAGGCACGAATTGCATATGAATACTAAAAATCTTGAATGAAAATGTCATAGTAAAGATATCTGTTAAGTATTTAAGAATCTTAATTTAATTCAGAAAAGTACAGAAAAGCTTAAACTGAAGCCCAATTGCACAAGTCTGTTCTATAGGTAGCTGCTTATACCCCTTCAATCAACTTTGGTACGGAGTATTTAAAAAGGAGCCATGCTGACGGTTTGACAAGGGAAAGCTAAGTTTTGTTTGGCAAAAAGTTTTATGCAAACACAACACAAGTTCATGTACCTCTCTCCCTTTCCTCTCTCCCACTCACCCTTCTCTGTGTGGCCCCACTTTCAGAGCAAACAAACTGACTGCCCAGCCTTGCGTAATATTTTAATAAATTTTTGTCGCCAGTCTTGGTGGCCAACAATGGTTTACTGTTAGCCCTTGTCCAGGTTATGGCCAGGTTTCGTTTTGGGATCCTAAAGCGCTTGCGTCGCAATTAGTAAAGTGCGTGACGAAAGCTTTTCGATCTTCATCAGGAATCGGTCGGAAGCGAGCGAATGTGCACTTTCAATGAATTGTTTTTAGGTGGTTTCTCACTTGATGTTTGGAGCGCGACGCAATTTCCATGTCAAAGCTGATTTTCTAACTGATTTCATGCTCACGCACGCACACAGAGAAATACACGAAGCCATGCACAAAGAGTTAGCCAGCAAATTTCTAGTTTCAATCAGGTAGTATGTCGCTTGGCTCGCTAGGCTCGTGTCCTGGTGGCGGCGCTGGCGGCGCCACTGATGTGGTAATAAACACCCCTTGTTAGTGCTGCAAAATAATCGATATTCCGTAATATCGATATTCGCGATATTTTCAGAGAAAAAGATCGATAAAAACGATATATCGAACACTTCTTTTAAATGTTAATTTTCTTGCTTAGAATCTATTATAATATTTATATTAATTATGACTTCTTAATGGATAAAATGGCAACCATTTCAAGATTAAAATAAAAGCAACAGCATCAAACAAAAACAAATTTATTCAACCGAACAAAGTCGTATAACAAATTATTTTTCATTAACTTAAACCTAAAACAGCAATTCATTAAAGCTTAAATTCACTATGCTCCTNTTTCAAAATATTTCCACACTTCGGATTTTTTTGGGGCTCCCACGGTCTTATTTTCTTCATCGGAGTCAACCCTCGCCGCGCCTAAAACACACAAGCTATGATTCCAAGCTTTTCCAATAGTATATATCAATTGTACTTACGTTTTCTTCCCAAAAACTGATCCATTTTTTTCTTTCTATTGCAATTAAATTAAATCAATCAATTTGTATACAATTTAGCAAAATTAAATAAATGCGCTTCTTACACAGTTAAAACCAACGCCAAGAATAACCATTTTTTCGATATATCGATACTAAGAAASCCATATCGATCTTTTGCCAAAATTCGAAAATATCGATTATAACGATTCCGATCCGATATTTTTGCAGCACTACCCCTTGTGCAGTCTAATGGACCGTAATTAACTCGTGCGCCAACTGCGGCAGCGCTGTCAACGCCAGCTGCGGCGTCGTCGTCGTCGTCGTCGTCGTCGTCGTCGGCATCGTGTGGTCGTTCCCAACAAGCGATGAATAATAATTTCACCAGGACAGCTAACCACAGCGCGCACAGTGGACAATAATGACAGTTAAATGGCGAAAATAATTCGTTGGCCAATTCAATTTGCATATTATATCCATATAAATGAGAGTATGTATGTACGTGTGTACTGGCATATAATAACATATATGCCATATGCTGACTGGCATGTGTTCATGCATGCTCATAATCTTGTCCAGATTGCATCAATGTAATTGCGCCTTTTGATGTCGTACATAGTTAACGCCACTCCATAAAATGCCGATTTATTGTTGCTTATAGCTTAGTTATCGATAATTAATCCACAGCACTTGAGTTATGAACTGAGCAGTTGGTACATACATCATCATAGAAATCGGCTATATAACCTGTAACGCCCTCTGGTCTATTCTCTCGAACCTTTTTAAGAAACAAAGCCAAAGTAGATAAAAAGAAAGACGATTCCTTGATACAGAACTCTGGCCTCGAAAGAAACTCTAACCGCCCTCGAATACTCCTAGAGAATTAGAATTAGATTCGGTCTGACAACAACAATTGCAAAATTCTGAGAAAACAACAATACAAGCGTATGGCAGATATGTATGTAGGTGTTTTTGACCTTTCGTATAAATAGCCGAATCAGGCCTTACTTTCAGCTTGGCTACTGAAATAATAATAATAATAAAAATAGTAAAAATAATATTCTTTTTATATTTTTTAATTTCCAGATCATTTTCAATCGCAGCATCTATTCTTTTTTTAAAGATATAATCCGAGGGTAAGTTCACTCACTAATACATAAAATAATATTCAATAAAAATAAATAAATAAAAATAAATAAATAAATGAGGCTCTTAAATGTGACATTTGAAATGTATCAAATTTAAATAAGGCACTTCTATATAAAGATGACAACACATAAAATATAAAAATATAGTTTTAGCGATTTTATTCAAATAATGGAAGCGAATGTAAAGCCAAAGTGTAAGCTTACACCAACATTGAACCACTGTGTACATGGAATATTTAAACGTAAAAGTTTTAAAATTAACTCTAACGAAATTGGTCATTGATTTCTTACCATTGTGCTTGACTGCTGTTGTTATCGTTGCTGCTGTTGGTTGCAGGGTGTTGCTGCTGCTGCTGTTTGCGTGACGGATATTGCCTTGTCACTTGCATGTACGAGAAATGTTAAAGCATAGAGCGGGCTGGGCTACCGACCAACTGCCGCCTGCCTCCGTTTGTTCCTCTGCTTGTCGCGCAAACCGCTGTCCACTCATTGGGTAAACCGAAAGACCGAGCGAACGACGGCCACTAACCACAGCGCGCAAATCAACGCAGTAAAGTTATCCAACAAAGTCGGCTAAAGCAACAACAAGGAATCTGTTGTTATGCCGCTCGAAAGTTATGCAAAAATTTAATTAATTTTGCAATTTGCCTAGTCAAGGAACATCAACATCAACATCAATAGCAGCAGCAGCAGCAGCAGCAACTGCGCCAACAACACCCAGCGACACTTTCCAATCTGCTATCGAAAAATGACGATGATTACTGATTACTGATTACCATTATTGCCGCTAAGCACGGGCGTAGCCAAAGTAAGGCGATTTAGCTGCCGACTATTATAAATACAAATTTAATGAGCATGACATATGCAGCAGCAGCAGCAGCAGCAGTAGGGACTGGTCTTTAATGCGATTATATGGCAGTGGTACATTTGTCATTTAGTAGGGGTCCATTCGACTGTGTGTGCGTGTTTGCTCGTGTGTGTATGTGTGTCTGTGGCAGCTTAAACAAATCAAGTCAAATTACTGCAATGCTAAAGAAGAATCTGTAGCAGTCAGCCAACTGGTAACTGTCGACCGAGCGACCGACCGACCGACCGACCGACCGACGACCGAGGACCGGCGACTCTTGTACCAGTTACAATGAACGGTTGTGCGCATCAGTAAGATACATTTTGCTGCAGCCAGGCAATTGCATGGCCAGCGTGCATAACTTCAACTTTATTTGTTGTTCTGTCTCGCTCGCACAGTGTGGCATGCGGGCCACTGCAGCAGAGTAGCTGCCACAGCAGCAGCAGCCGTTGCTCATTAAGTGCCACTCTACGACAGTTGTCGCTAATGCCGCTGGCATGCCAACCGCACCCCGGACTGTGCCGCCCCATCCTCCTGCGCCCACAGTTGGTGCCAGCGGGGTCGTCGTCACGGGCCAAGCTGGGGTTACACACAGTCAACGTAATTTTGCAAATATTTGCTGAAATCAGACGACGACAAATGCAGCAGCAGTTGCATGTGCAGCAGCCAGCAGCCAGCAGTCAGAGGCAGAGGTAGAGCCTGAAGCAGGGCAAGGGTTGAGGGGTGACTAGACACTGACGAGGGGTACGTGCTGAGGGGGTTGCAAGTCCGCATAGGCATGCCAGGAATGGTAGTTAAGTTTATGTTGTTGAATTTTTTTGTCTTAAACCAAGCAGAGCTTTTGGCGCCCAGGTTGCAGCTAGCTAACAGCGGCTAAAACGAGCGTTAGCTGAATGTACTACAGTGAAGAGTCGAGAAGTGGCCAGCAGAGCCAGCAAGAGGATTAGGGGTCAGGAGCTAAGGCTTAGTTTGTAACCCACTCTCAGAGCAACATCTACAAATAGATTTTACACTTGAGCTAAGGAGAAAAGGAAGCCTCAATCGAAGCCGAAGAGATTGCAAGAATGAATTTAATTAAAGCTTTAGTCCTAGCTGTTCGCTAAATGAACAAACAACAGCAGGATCAAGTATGTATATATA